AGGCTCATCTTCAAATGCTAATGCTGGAGCATTGGTTGATGATAATAATGTTGGAGGGAGGTTAGTTTCTCAATTGGTGATAAATTCCACTGTAATTACTGCTGATTTTGTAAGACAAAAATCATCATCAGTAGCAGCAGCATTTGAAAGAAAAAGCAGCTTTGAATGTGATGGTAGCTCGCCAAGATTGAATACATCAAACTTAGAAGACACTGATTCATTCTCCAGAAATAAGTTAGATAAATTAGGTGGAGATTCATCTGCGTGAAACAAGTTGACCACCCCATTGATTACTTTCTGCCGAAGGAATAAAAGAAAAAAGGATATGGATGAGTCTAATATACAAAGGAAATCACTGCCCGTGGAAAATAGCTGCTCATTGATAACCAAATTGAATAATTCTGTTTGTACTAATACCAGTTCTTATGAAGAAACTTCCCCTGAAAACTGCTCAGTAGATCATGAAGCAGATTTGAAGCACTCCAGAGAGGTATGTAATATGAAGCCTATCTTCTGTCAATTTGGAAATAATGTATCTGCCTATAAGCACAAACACAATCATGTGAAATGAGAAATAGAAAATAAGATGCGACATGGAAAATACATTCTCATTTACATGTATTCTATAATAATACATATGTATAAAAACAAGGTCAGAATAAAAGGTGCATCATTGTTAGTGCTTAGTTGCCCTCGAGTGGCTGACTGACTCCACCATTATGTGCATTCTTAACCTCATACTTCATTTCTGTATATGTAATTTGTAATCACCGATCTAATTTCTTTACTACGGATCATTGATTTTACATATGCTCGTGCTGGATCTACTGCCGCTGGAACTAAAATGTAGGTTCACATTAACTTCAGAACTTATTGGTTTCTTATATTTTAATTTCTTACTTCATTCATCGGGACAGTTTGATGCATGAAGAAGAACAACTTCATGATGACGAAAAGACAGGCAGTGACGCCTTACAACATGCTGGAGAAGTATTTGGCCAGAGTGCTCAAAGTGCAATGGTTGTTGAAGTTCTTTGCATGGATCATTTAAGAAAAAGTAGTGATACTAGAGACTCCTCTTCTGAAGCTGCAACTCTATGTAAACCAGGAAAAACCCATGCATTGATAAGAGATGAAGCTCAAGTTTTATCAAGTGCTGATCTTAAAGCAACAGAAACTCACTTCCTTATTTGGACTTGTCTGTTATCCTCACTGGTAGGACTTCATTAATTTCTAAGAATGCATTTGAACCAGTAACATTCTCAATTCACTTTGTGTTTAACTTACAATACTTTATCTAAAAGAATTCTTACTAGCAGATTCATGTGGCACTGTGGAATGCAATGTTGACTTAAACTTGAGTTCTCAGAAGCAACCTGACCTGGCTGCGCCAAAAACTATGTGGGACTCCTTGGATTCTACTAGCAGAAATAATGCCACTGTATTGCATGAACTGTCTCCTCCAGAAATGTCAGCTGCGAGAATTGAAAGAGTAGAAACTCAAGCTTCACGCTTACACAAAGATGCATTTGAATTTTTAGAAGTTGGTGACAGCTGCAAAGATGATGATAAAGTTAGTCCTCTATTTTCTAAGGAAATTACACTAAAAAACCAGTAGTGTCTGCAGGTGAGATTTGTAAGTCTTGTTGTTTGAAGTTTTGGGGATGATTTGGCTGTCAACTAATCTTATTTTACTTTTCATGTTTGGAATTGATTCCAGCTATTTTTAGAAGAAAAAACCAGTGACATTTTTCGCCCAGTGACAACACAGCCTGTGGCGGCGGCTTTTATAGCTTCAGAACAAAGAAGAAATTCTTCAGTTGGGAGGCAAAAATAATCAACCAGAACAAGAATCTCCTTTGTTACTAGGTCATCCTGATCAGAAAACCCTTTAACTGCAGGATGTGCAACCAATACCTGCTTCAGTGCATTTCCCTTCTTGAACTCTGTCATTGACACCAAAGAATTTATCCAAGATGCAGCACTCCAATCTTCCTCGAGCCATTTATCGTCAATATTGACACAAGCTTATGCATGATAGTATTGCAAGCCGAGCAAGAGCTTTCAATGACAGGAGTAGTTTTCATGACAAAATATAAGCCATATAGTACCATGTGGTCTGAAGAGTAGTTGGATTTTCTTTGGATAGGTGTGAGGAGACATGGAAGGGACAATTGGGATGCTATGTTAAGGGATCCAAGATTGCACTTCTCATCATGGAGGGTAGAAGGGACTTAGCTGAGCGGTGGGAAGAGGAAGAGTCAAAACTTTTGAGTGGCATATGTGTTCTTCAATTCAAGTACTCGATAGCACAAGGCAGTTCTTTGGACTACCACTACTTCTTGGGTCCAAAAACAGGAATCTGGAAAGAAAATACAGCAGATGAACCCGGACTTTCATTTGGCAATGTTGATGCGTGTAGAGGAGGTAATGCCTGGAGGAGGCCATTATTCCAGCCGGCTTATGTTTGCAATAATGGCAATGAACACCTCCAGATGCCTATTAGTTACACAAAGAGGACATCTCATTTTGGTTTCCGAAGGGAGAAATATGACGAGGATGAATTTAGTATTTTAAGTAGAAGTAGGAGTATGGCAAAGGGCAATTTACTATCAACTAATGGCCCCACAACTTGCGTTGGAGCAAAGGGAAACTTGCCCCACTGGCTCAGAGAATGCTTTCCTATGTATGATCTTTCATGGTTTCACTGGTAGAGTGCATGAATGTTGTTTCATCTTTGAATGACTGAGGCTCTTGGAAATTTTCTAGGCCTCTTTGAGCGTTCCTCAATCCTTCCAACTCTGTTGATACCTCTTTCATACTAGGCCTCTTTTTCTCATTCAACCTCCAACACCTTGTTGCAAGCTCAGCAATTGCTCCAACATGCTCCATCTCTGCATCTCGAACCACTTGAGGATCCAAAATCTGAACAAGTTGGTTTTCCCTTGTCAGTGAAATGAAAGAAACAACCAGATTTTCCCCGTCATCTTTAGCAGAAGAAAATGGGGTTTTCCCAGTTAATATTTCTACAAGTGTCACTCCAAAGCTGTTGGTATCACTTTTATTTGTAAATTTACTAGATCGGAAGTACTCTAAATCCATGTACCCAAAAGTTCCTTGTACTTCTGTGGTTAACTGAGTTTTGTCTAGGGGAACTGATTTTGAAGTCCCAAAGTCGGATACTTTAGCACTATAGTTGTGGTCTAGAAGAATGTTAGAAGACTTGAAGATGGGGGATTGAAGCTGCATAGTGCATATATGATACTGCTTGGGCAACTTTACAGGCGATCCTGAAGCAATGTTCCCATGAAAGCTCATAAAAAAAAATATAAAAAATTACTGGTCATGACCTTTGGAGGTCAGACCATTGAAACCCATCCTTTTTTTTTATATATTATTTATTTATAAATATGGTCACCTTTTTAAATGTTTCCAAGTGTTGTTTAAAAAAATAATAAAAAATTCTTGGTCATGGAATATTGTCTCTAAATAGTAGTTTAATTAAATTAAACAATACATAGTTGTGGAATGTATGAGTGTTGTACCACAGTTTTTCTCAAAATAATAAAATATGAAAGACCCTAAAATATAGCTCTGCATGGCTGGATATGGAAAAATTTAGCCCTACACTATTCTTTAAAAAATTAATATTTTTAAGGGCTAAATATTTAGCCCTGTACTACATTTAGCCCTATGACTGGAGATGGCCTAACGTCCCAAGAGATTCAGAACCCCCCCGAAAAAAAAAGGCCCCAAGAGATTCAAGTTTGAATTCTTTCTCTCTCATTGTTAAAAATAAAGAAATAAAAAATGTATAGACTTGTTTTTTACACAAGCGATATTAGGATCTCAGATGCAGAGATAAATGCTCTTAAAGACTTGAGTTCCAAGTCGTATGCAAAATTTCTCACACTTTAGTCCATGTTTTATGATGTTTTTTTTCTAGATTTTTTAAAGACATTTTTTATTTATTTTGTTGGCTTGGTTTGATTTGCGATATCTTGGTATGTTCTTCACCTTTCTAGACTTTTGGTACGGAAATTGTTAACTCCATAAACAATTTTGACACTTTGACATTGAGACTCCTTGCCCCCAGAATCTTGAATCCGCCACTACATACACTATATAATATTAAAATCTATTCTCATGCGTTAGCTCACACAATAAAGCACAAAGTCAAACTAATGGGCTAAAGCATTTATCTCCTTACTCAATATCATTATAACAAATTCGTTTTTTTTGAAAAAAAATATAATATAATGTGTCTGCAAATTGCATAAGTCCCTCTATGGTCTGAAACAAGCACCCAGGGCCTGGTATGACCAGCTATATACCTCTCTGTTATCTCTAGGATTCCAAGCCTCTAACAAATTCGTTTTTTTTGAAAAAAAATATAATATAATGGGATATGCTCCTTATTATATATTAAAAAGAAAATACTTACAAATATATGACTCAAACTGGCTTTTTTTTTTGGGTACAAAGCGGGGCCAAGATCCCAAAACCAAACAATTACATAGGGATAGGAATTAACCTGGGACTAGGGATACTGCTAACATCAGCAGCAATAATATCGTTAAGGAAGGGGGGCTCCAACTCCAAAACATGAAGGCCTAAAGGGAATTCATAGCTCTTGGCAGCTAAAGCATCAGCAGCCTTATTTTGTTCACGGTAGACATGGGATAAGGAGCATGACCAATCACCAAGCAGCTGTAAATTACAGCAATTGAGAAGACTAAACAGGGGATGAGAAGGAATGAGAGGGTTATTCAGGAGGGCCACCACCGGGGAAGCGTCACATTCAGTCTCCACAACTCTGTAGCCAGCCTCCCAGACAAACTGGCTTTCAACAGTCAAATGAACAAAAAATCCTCTAGAATTTATAAAAGAGCTGCACACAATTTAACAGAAAACTCTAAAATGAAGTCAGTTGAACACAGTTCTTAATTTCTATGTTGCTCATGCTCCTTATGAACGTGGTAAGCCTTTTGGATGCTGCATTGTGGCTATTGAATTTTGACATTGATTTATAAAACTGGCAATAAGCACAAAAAACTTTCTCATGCCTTCTGTTCACAATTTATTTTTTGTGATCCATTTCAGCAGGAAAATCTTGTTTAAATACATTAGCAACAGGTTTCTTATATAGAAAGATCCTCCACATTAACGTCCCTAGGAAAACCACTACATCCAGAATCAGAATGCTCCTTTTCAAGGAGTTGAGTTGCATAAACCACCACCAACTCATGCTGCACTTTCTCCACCAGCTTCTTCTCACTGCTTGAATGCAGGTAATGTGAAGCTCTATCCCTCTCCCTTCTCAGGCATTCCTCGACCTTCGATATGTAATCTGTATAAGGATTTTCAAGAATCCAACTTGATGCTTTGCGTGAATAGTATCCGCCGGTATCTATTAGCATATGTGCTTCAAAGTCCTCTTCATAAGCTTCCATTTGTCCCATTCCAATTTCAACAAATATGTCTATCACATTCTTCAATAGTGCTCTGTCAATTTGCTCCCCCTCACGTTCCTTATTAATAAGACCAATTATAGCAACTCTCACATTGGCATTTACCTCCCGATAAACCAGATCCCGGAAGCAGTTAAGTCCAACCTCATTTAGCCCGGGAACAGATCTCTCAGCGATGTAGAAGCGATCAAGATAATGAAAGAAACGCAACATCCATCTAACCATAACTTTTTGTTTTGCCCAACTTTTGACAAACTCCTGCAACAAAAACTCATCCTGCTTCTCTTTTAGAGAGGGTCATTTCAACAGAAGACACGTGAAACCCATACCCATCTCAATGAGCTGTAAAGTTATTCAACATATAAGCATGGTCTTGTCAGTATATTAAATTGTAAAGCTGTTAGACAAGATTAGGACAACTTTCACATAATCTTTCAGACGTAATGTATTCCTCAAATGTCTCTTGATATTTTTTGTAAAGCTGCTGAGAATACTCATAAGGGGGGTCCTGAATACACATGGTATAGATAGTTGTGTAAAGCATCATATATTCTTCTGAGCTGAACTGTGGTTCTGGTAATCCTTCTACAATCCTCTTTAGCTTCGCGATCCCCTTCTGCATATAGTCCCATCCTTGATCCCACTCGATAACTTGGCGTTTTGTGGTTGTGGATGATAAAGTTTGATATCCTTCAACTATAAGGAAAACACATCAAGAAAAAATGGATAAAAATGAAAAGAAAAGAAAAACCAAGGTGGGATTGAGTAATTTACCTTTAGCATGTGCCATAGTGAAACATTCGGTTTGTTGTTCTCTTTTAGGATGCAATGAACTCTGGCCTTGTTTTGCCTCACAATCTTCATGGCCAAGTAGGCTCCAAGTTAATCCGAGACCGAAACTATTGTCACTGAGATAAGGGCTATACATAAAAGGAATAGGAATGGTTTTTACTACACTGCAAGAATCTGGGACAGCCAAAGAAGGATCCACAGTGTAAACATGATAGTCAGAGCCACTTAAGCAGGGGACTTCTGTCAAAGGAGGTGAAATCCTAACTGAACAATTGAGATATGAGCACTCTTTCACAGCATGGTAATACTGAAATGGAGTAAGGGAGAGATTGAGGTTAAGATAGACTTCATGGACACAATTCTTCGGGTCAATAAGATCGAGTTTTTTGATATCATAAGAGATGGATCTCACTACCAAATCACCATAGGATGGGAAGTGAATTATGGTTGTTCCGTTCTTGCAGTCAAGCTCATAACCAGTGTGACCGCAGTGTTGACGCTGATGCCCCCTTAATTAGAAAGGAAATCGAATATTGGGCGTCCCATGTGAGCAGTTTCCATTTGAGGCCTCTATGTCAAGAAAGATTGAAGTGAAGAAAAGGATGAAGAAGATAGAGGCAGAGCTGATGCCCCCTTAATTAGAAAGGAAATCGAATATTGGGCGTCCCATGTGAGCAGTTTCCATTTGAGGCCTCTATGTCAAGAAAGATTGAAGTGAAGAAAAGGATGAAGAAGATGGAGGCAGACATAGCTGGTCAACTAGCAACAATGGGGAGGGAAAGAAAGAGACGTAATATAGAAAAATTAGAAAGAAAAAAAAACTAGGACAAACAAGAAGACCAAGTCTCCAAGTGGGAATGAGTCAAAAGGATATGAAGCTTCCTCTGTCCCACTCAGAAGCAATTGAATGGCTTATTGGGGTTGATTTTTCAGTGAGGGGACCAAGTGGCCAACCAATGATGAGAGTTAGTTGGGAGTTGGGAGTTGGGACTAACCAATCAAAAGGCAGAGAAGAAGATAGATAAAGAAGGCTTCAAATATATGCAGGCTTCATAACAGTTAGGTAGCTAATGGAAAGGTAACATTTTCATAATTCCATATAATTTCTTTCAGTTGAAAATTTACTAAACTGCCTCTAATAGAAAACTGAACAAAAATCCCCACTCTCTTTTTGAAATCCTAGAATTACTAAAAGAGCTAAAAAAAAAAAAATTACAGCAAATCTAAAATCCAAAGAAACTACAACTCCTTTGTCTTGCTGTGTTAACTCCAGCACATCCTGGATAATATGAAGACTCCAGCCCTTGAATCATACAAGATACTTAAAAATGTTGTGGTTTTCCTTGTCCCTCTCCAAGTAGTCTCGGTCAATAAGATTTTCAATACGCTTCTTGAGTGTTTTTATGTCAGGCTTGAATATATGTGCCAACTTTTCAACACACTCCACAAACAATTGTTGAAGATCCAAAACTTTCTGCTTCTTCATAATCCGGGTAATTGCAGCATCGATAGCATATTGCCTGTCCTTCTCGACTTCTTTGATCACCTCCTTCGTTTCATACAAGGGTAGGAGAGGAATCTTGATTCTTTTCATTCTGCCTGTGAACTTAGAGTTGAACTCAAAGCTGTCATTTGGTGATATATTCTTTGTATTAGGCTCCTTCAGGAGGATCTTGTACTTGCCACATGACAATGAATAAAGAGTCCGAACCAAGTCATCATGGTCAAGATTTAACTGAGTGAATATTTCGGAATAGCTCAATCTATCTGCATCACTGAAAAGCAGCAGGAGAGCAGCCTGACAGCTTGACACAACTAGTTCGATGGTTTTTGACTCAAAGTTGCTGTTAATGTAGCAAGTTCCCAATGAGTTGATCCAATTAAGTTTTCTACTTTTCTTTTTTGTTTCGTAGAATCCCTCAAAAGCTTCAATGCAGTTCTTCATCTCTGCAGGAAGGTTAAGGTTAAATGGTTTATAACTTGGCCACAAACCAGTTGTGAGAACAGTGACGGTAAAATCCATTCCAGGATTTACATTTGGATTACTGTGAAGATATTCCGCGAAGCTGGTCTTATTGTCCCCAGTCCATGTCATATCTTCGACCATTTTATCAATCCTAGAGGTCAAGAACGTTCCACCCAATTTCCGTTTCAAATTTGTTACAAAACTTTTTTCACGTTCCAAGTTGGAACTCCGATCAAACAGCAGTCGAGGAACAAGTCTTTTCTTGTAGAATTCTATGAAAAGGTCCATGGACCTCATATAAGAAACCAGATTAGCAACCTTCTCAAGTGTGTCTTCGGTGGCCTCATCACTCAACTTCTCATTCCCATCGTTTTTAAGGAGATTATCACAGAATGCAGCTAGTAATTCAGCACCTAAACTACCAGCAACAGGTCCATTCCAAAATAGATCAAAAGCGTCACTCAGAGCCCTGTGAAAGATATAGTTTTTTATCAAGCAATCATTGAAAAAAGCCAGGTACTTAGTGTGAAGCTCGAGTATATTTCGGACAAGGACATGTTCCTGCATGCCATAAGCTCCATTGAAATCCTGGTTACTTGATGCATCATCTTTAGCCTGTTGGACCAAAGCTTTAACTTCAAGACTAACTTTCTGTTTAAATGCATTAGCAAGAGGTTCAAACAACTCATGTTCCACTTTCTCCACCAGCTTCTTCTCACTGCTTGAATGCAAGTAATGAGAAACTATATTCCTCTCCCTTCTCAAGCATAACTCGGCCTTCACCATGTAATCCATGTAACTTTCCTCCGCAATCCAACTCGATGCTTTACGCGAATAGTACTCACCGGTACTTTTTAGCAAGTGTGCTTCAATGTCCTCCTTGTAAGCATCCATTTTCTCTGTTCCCATTTCAACAATTATATCCATCACATTCTTCAACAGCCCTCTGTCAATTCGCTCTCCCTCACGTTCTCTATCAATAAGACCAAATGCAGCAACTCTCGCTCTAAGATTTAACTCACGGAAGCAGTTAAGTCCAACTTCTTCTAGGTTAGTAAGTGATCTACTGGGGATGAAGTGGCGAGCAAGAAAAAAAAAGCAGTGCGACATCCGCCTAACCCGAACTTTATGTCTTTCCCAACTTTTGACAAACTCCTGCAGTATAAACTCTTCATGCTTCTCTGCGAGAGAGGGCAACCCTTTCGAAGTAATATGTTGCTCGATTGTCTCCTTATATTTGTCATATAGCTGTTGACAATAATCATGAGGAGGTGTTTGAGTGCACATGTCGTAGATAGTTGTGTAAAGCATCATAAAATCTTCTGCGTCGAATGGATTCTCAGATAATCCCTCTATAACCCTGTTCAGCTTGTTCGTCCTCTCCTGAATAGAGTTCCATCCTTCATCCCACTCAATAAGTGAACGTTTCATTCTCCTATTGAAAACACATAAGAAGTATGCATCAAGTTATATCAAACAGAGTGGCAAATATCGACACATAAGAAGTATAAATGTTCTGTTTTATATTTTTTTTCCATTATCTATTGTTAGGGACTGAATAAACTTGATAATAACAAATGTCTTGAAAAAAATGCCAACAAAACCTAGTCCCAAAACTCAGTATCTAGGACCTCCCAACTTATACTCGGCCGTGGACTCAGTTCAACCAAAATTCACTAAAAATTCATCCTAATTCCAAAAACTTCACCGACAAATGCTACAGACTCTTTGTAACATACACTTTCGTTCTATGACATCAAATTAGCAATTTGACCATGAGAAAATTTCATTTGCAAGTTCCACATATATAACTTAAAATTGAAAATAAATTACCAAGCAAGTTTCCTGTTTTCAGTTTTTTACAAATAAAAACTACAAATGTCTTGAAAAAAATGCCAACAAAACCTAGTCCCAAAACTCAGTATCTAGGACCTCCCAACTTATACTCGGCCGTGGACTCAGTTCAACCAAAATTCACTAAAAATTCATCCTAATTCCAAAAACTTCACAGACAAATGCTACGGACTCTTTGTAACATACACTTTCGTTCTATGACATCAAATTAGCAATTTGACCATGAGAAAAATTTCATTTGCAAGTTCCACATATATAACTTAAAAGTGAAAATAAATTACCAAGCAAGTTTCCTGTTTTCAGTTTTTTACAAATAAAAACAAAAAATTGAAAACAAAATAAATAAGTAAAACTGAAAATTGAAATGGTTATCAAACGGGTCTCTAATTTTCCTAATAAGGTGACTCCAATAACTGCTCGAAATGAGGAGGCACATAACAATTACACATATACATATATACATATATACATAGTCATACCTCTAGGGTTTTAACACAAATACTTATCACTAAAGGACATGAATTCTCTGTTAAAGGTAAACTTCAATAAAGTGTATCGACGACATATCAATAACATATGGACAACTACAAAATCGAATCATCGACAGTGCCAATATCGATCTCATATCTACAAAACATCCGCATTTAAATAAGTGCAGTTAATCATATGCTAGAGAAAATTTAATCACATGGTACAACTATTGTCAAAAGAAACAGGAATGGTTTTCCCTACCTTGCAAAAGAAGTCTCCTTGGAGCGGAGAAAGATCAGTCCAGTATTTAGAACAAAATTCGGAAAGGCTTTCGAAACTCACCGGAGACTTTGTGGATGCAATTCTGGGGTTAAGAATCTCAGGTTTCACAGCCAATTCACCACATATATATATATAAATCAAGCTCACACCCAGTCTATAACCTTCTTTGTATAGAATACGTTTTTATGGTTTTGACAAAGTAAAACCCTACCCTAAAACGATTTACCTAACTTGGCCCAACAGACAACATAAAAGCCTTTCTCCATTTCCTATTAGGGCGCGGGAAATTAAGCATAGCAAAATGGTCCGGAAAATCCTATCGTTTGGGGATAAAAACACAAGTTAATTTTCTTATACAGAAGAATTCTATTTACACCCAAGGCCATTCTCTGGACACCCAGCCACAAAGCTTTTTTGTTAGAGTTTTTCCACTTTTACCCCTACAAAGTTAAAACTAATAAAATAGAAAATAGAAATATGACAAAGAAAAAAAAAAGGCAAAACATCGACTGACGGAACCTCGTTAGCCCAGTGCAAAGTTAGGGCAATACATTTAGCCCACCATTACCAAGACCATTTACAACAACATAATTCACCTCTGATGCAAAGTTCGGCCCCTTGTTTCCTAAAACGTTTTTTGCTTCACATGTTGTTGGTTACCTAAAAGCAACAAAGTTGTAGTTCAAGTGGTTAGTTTCCCGTGGACCTTGGCTGACAGTTCTCGCCACTTCTTTCTTGCATAGCTTTGCGCTGCAAGTAATGTCTCATATGATAAGGCCATCTAACTGTTCATCCTTATTTCCTTTGATGTACAGCTTGGAGGAAGGAAAGATACTCCACTATTTATTTCCTTGTTGCTGCAGCATACCAAAAGAATTTCATTATTGCTTTTCTAGCAGTAAAGGTGGACTCAAACAAGTCTTAGACTTCTTGTGCCTCGACTGTTAAACTGCTAACATTTCTTTTGTCTCATCTTTTATCTGGTGTGCAGCCAAATGTCTGTTTTTAGGGAAATAGCGCTAAATACCATCCAATTCAAAATATAATCTGGAAATACCATCCTTGGCTGGAGATTTTGGGAATACCAAGTATAAATACAAACCTATTGGCCACCTATCCCGTTTTGCACACTTTTGAATTCACTGTCGCTCTCTCTCTTCTTGGGTTCTTTTTCTCCTCTCCCGTCTCATGCTGAAAGAAAACCTCTCACTCACTCTCTCAGCCCCAAATTTGGTTCTCTCTCTCTCTCTCTCTCCCGTCTCACCACAAAAAATTATCGAAGTGGTTACAAGCTAAATCTTCTATGGGATTGGTGCGTACAGCTTTTCATTTTCTTCTCCTTGAAAGAGAATCCTTTTAGTGCTTTAACCTTGTCATTTTGGGAGCTCGTATCTGAATGGATATCCTCTAGTTTTCTTGATTTTGCAAGCCACTGAGCTCTAAACTTCTAAGTGGTCTTGTAGTAAGTGCACCAAGTGATAGTAATGAATAGGATGCTGAATTGAGCTGAGTCTTACTCCTTAGCAAGCATGGGCAAAGTTGTAACAGTACTTATTTATAATTATAAATCTGTATTCTAGTAAATTTAAGGTTGTGCTTTATTATATTCAGGGCATACATGAAGAATTAAGTTTAAATGTTTTCAGAGGTATTCCTATGTGTCAAGTGATTTTTGAGAGTTATGAGTGGCATTATTGGTCTCACCTATGTTAATAGGATTGCTTTGGAACTTGGAGAGAGACTAAAAAGATTTTATCCCAAGTTTCTACGAGCCTTATGAAAAAGAAGTATATAGTGAGCAAAGAAAATGAAAAAAACTTTAATTCCAAGATGAGCCATATAGTCGTCCTTTATTGGTTTCAGCTGACTTGTCTTTCAATTTTGTTCTGTCTTTAGTTTTCAATTCTGCTGATAAAAAAAGAAGGCATGATTTTCTTCAGGTTAGTTTAGTGATCTATAACTGGAGAATAGTGGTTCATGGGCACCTTTTTTATGAATTTATGCGTAGACGGCAAGTTGTATTTTGGTAGCAGTACTGAGTTATGCAGGCACTGATGTTAATAGTTACACAATGTGTTTTAGCTGGTTTGTGCAGGCACTGATGTGCGAGTCATACACTGGCGTTGGAGACCATTTTGTGCATAATGTAATGAGTGTAGCCAAGGAGTTGTTTGACCTGCCTTCTGAAGTCAAAAGCAAAGCTTCTATTATGAAAATGCTAAGAAAACTTGTAGTAGATTATACACATCATTGAATATGCTTGTTATTATTAGATCCCAAGAATTAGGAAGGACATCTAAGACATTGTGTATTCTTCTTGTGGAGCCGTATGTTTCTAATATTTGTGTAATATACTTGATATTATTTTTTAGGTCATTATTATAATGAGATGAAATTTTCAGACATGAGTATTATTTTTTTATGTACTATTTATTATATGTAGCAACTAAATATTGTAATAGTTCAACAATTAGAACATTGTATAATCGGGAAAACAGAGTACAAAGACATCCATGAGGTACTTGTTTATTGCATTTTTATTAATTTTGTATTGCTTGTTTATTGCCACTTTATTGCTTATTTATTGCACATATGTTGCCACTTAATCTACGTGACATTACAATGGAGTGTAGTCTTAATTTTGGATTGGGTTTCTTAATTATTATAATTTGTTGCAGAGAAGCAACTATGAGTTTGATTTATAAAAAGGACGTGACGTCTTTAATGGAATCACATTCTTACACTCCTATATCGTCGGAATTAACCACTCTTAGAGCAACTCCAGCGGTAAGCCCAGCCTCTGTCTGGGGGGGAGGGGGAGGAAATCCAGTTCCAGCGAGGAGCCCAAGCTCGGGCTGGGAGTGGGACTCACGAAGACGGGTTGGCCCGAAGGCAAGTCTCGCCCGACCTGCAGCCCGAGGGGGAGGTGACGTCATGCGCCACGTGGCGTCTTCTGGTGCTCCAATGGGTTTTTTTTTCCAAATCCAATGGCTGAGCTTTTTTTGGGCAAAAAAAATGTGAAAAAAATTCGAATAATTTTTAAAAATTCACCAAAAAGTTCTGAATTGTTTTTCTATAAATACCTACCATTCTTCTTCATTTTCAACACAAAATCCTCTTATAATTTCTACTCCTTCTATTATTTTTCATTTTCTACACAAAATTTTCAACACATTCAATACATCAAACAAAATATAATTAAAAGAAATCTTATCCGAAATATTCTCAAAGTTAATTCTTTATGTTTTTATAATAAAAAATCTTATCCGAAATATTATCCAAATTAATAATTGAGGTAAAAAAAATTGTGAAAAAAACAAAAAAATGAATAGTAATTGCCCTTTGCCATGGCAACGGGTGGAAACACACAATGCTTTTTGCAAGGGCAACCACTATTCACATGAATAGTGGCTGCCCTAGCCCCCCTCTTGCCATGGCAAATGGCAAATGGGTGGAGTTGCTCTTACACTGTAATCTTGTATGTTCTAAAACTGTCGTCTTATATCAAGGGCCATCATTTCATATGAGGAGAATTCAAGGAGGGGATAGCAGTTACATGAGGAAGGTTTTACTCTGTCAACCACGTGCTCCAACTCCTTTGGGCTTGTAACAAAGGAACGTAGGCCACAGATGGAGGATGTGGGCCAAGATGACCCTTTTGGTTTGGAGCCAAAATAATTATTTAATTATTTTAATTACTTCTTGTGAATTTTACATTTTTGTCCTTGAGATTAGGGGTGTTCTAGTCATTTTTTGTTTCCAAATGAATTTGGGGAATTCTGTGGCACCATTGCGTAGAGCTTGTTAATACGAGTCTGTAGACTGGCGGCACGCTCAATTCTGAGTTGTAATGATTGCGAAAAGATCTGAAAACGAAAAGGACACATAGGGAATTTTGAAATTGTTAGAAAACCCTAACTACCCCCGAGCGCTATGGTTTAATTTTCCTCGCGCACCGTCGCGCACTTCTCTCTCTCCCTCCCTTCCAGCGACGCCGGCACTTCTCGCCATTGTTTTGTCGCCGTCTGGCTACCTCAGGCCACGGCACCGGTCCCAAAAGGATCGTCTCCTCCTCCTCTTCATAGCCCAGTCCTTTTCCTAGCTCGAACATCCAAGGTTAACCGGCTGTTTCGACTGGAAGTTTCGGCAGAAACTGTCGACGTCGCCGGCAATGTTTCCGGCCACTCCATTCCGTGCCACCACTTGGAGAGGATAGAGGAGATGTGAGCTTGGCAAGTAGGAACTTCACTTTCACTTTTGAGGCCTATTCTCTTCTAACATCTTTCTTGGCCCATAAAATCTTCTTTGGCCCGGTCACTTTTAACTTCGAAGTATTGCCCAATTGCTAAGCTTGTTTGTTTCTAGAGCCCACCAGTTCTCTTTTCATTTTCTTCTTTTCCATTTGAGAAAAACAAAAAAATTATAAGCGGAGAGCTGTTTTTGTGTTTGCAGTTGTTCTGTTTGAAGTTTTGGGTTTAGTAGGAGGGGAGGTTCGACGATTGATTATGTTTGCTTCTAAAGTTTCAAGAATCGGAGTTTCGATACTCAAACAGCTCTCCGGAGGTATGCACTGAAATTTACAATTGTTTATTTGGCTAATGTCTGTCTGTTGGAAGTTCAACATGGTAAAAGAAATCCCATTTTTTCTCAAGTATTTTTTTTTTCTACTTGTCATTCTTATATGGTTGGTTCCAATTGCATCCTTCTTTCGCAAACTGCAGGCAAACTCACATCCATAACCAGAGCAGGATATAATACGAGTAGTTGTTACAACCAATACTTGCAACCTCTGGTCAGTTTCCTCCTCTCATAGAATTTGCTATTTGGTGTAACCTTTTGTTTCTTGTATTCATCCTAGATGCTTAAGTTTTAGGTCTATCAATCAGTACATCATGAAGGGTTGAAGAAACAAAACAATTAAGCAAAACCATTTAATGGAATGCCACAAATTGAATTATTATGGATCTTCTTGTTGTTTTTTAGTGACCACTTCTGTCTGTCTTCGAATAATGGGTGGCTCTCGGCAAAGTTTACTCCTTGGAGAATTATAGGGTAGGAAAAGAGAGCCTGAACCATATATGCTTTCTTCATTTCTTGGTGTTGCTATGTTAGAAACCATTACTTGTTCTCTTACATTTGACATTTGAGAAGCCCAAGGGCTATTAACTACTGTCTCTTGTCATTCTTTTCCTCTTAATGTCACATACTGTGCATTATTCGTTGTTATATGGTATATGGTATAGAATGAGACACTCTTGCAGACCTAGGACATTGTACAGTGCCAATGGACTGTATTCATTCCAAGTTAAGGTTTATTTGTAAAAGAGTGGTCTTTATCATTATGCGTGAATTAGTCATGTTTCATTATGTTGCTAAACTTAGGTCCGCATTTAAGAACAATGGAAATAAAACAAAGTCGGTTTAATGATATACTTTTGGCAAGCAATTTGAGAATTGCAAAAACCATTTTAAAATCTAAATGAAGGCATATATATGCCATTTTTAATTTTTTTGTATTATTTTAGGTATTTTATGAAGAAGTTGGGAACTGAAATCATATTTGAATTGTGATACATGGGTTGAAGGATGATTAATGTGAAGTGTCAAGTAGTTTTTACATTTATGTATTTTAGTAGATTGAGCTTGCGTAGGTGCATTCATGTTTTTGTTCTTATATTTATGGTTTCTTTGTCTTATGAAATGTTTGATCAACAGTCTGAAACTAAGTTGTTGCGGGGAGTCATATTTCACAAGCATCATCTTTTTTCTACCGTTAGTGCCAGCGATTCTTCAAATGAAGGGATTGAGCAGAAAGAAAAGTAAGTTATTTTGGGTTTAAATGGTTTAACGCTAATCATTAATAATGTTAGGAGATTGATTTAGAGTAACAATGAGAGAAAGCAGTCAAATGCATATGCACGGATTGAACATATATTTATTTATTTGTGCAAAATTAATTGCAAATTGATTTATCTTTAGCAATGTTTTTCCGTATGTCAATTAGGAGCACCTCATGGCCCTAATTCTCCTTTGCGTTGACATATTATTATGTTGTTTCTTCACAGAGATGATTTATTTGCAGGATATCTGTGACATTTGTTGATAAGGATGGAGATGAGATACATATTAAGGTTCCTATTGGAATGTCTATGCTTGAAGCTGCCCATGAAAATGATATAGATCTTGAAGGCAAGGTTCTGGTGCTTATTTAATAGTCTTTTTCATCTTAAATCCAAATATGTTCCATCAATTGCTGTTGCCCTTTAGACAATTGTTTACTGGAATCACTTGTTTTCCATCATTTTCATGCATCTTTCTACTGATAGTATTGCTATCATAGGCATATGTCAATTGGATTGGCAAATACTTATTAGTTGCTTTGGACTGTACATTGGGTGACCTTCCCTCCCTCTCAACTGTATTGTTGCACGCTTATTTCTTTAAATGGATCAGACTTAGTTGTTTGGAACCACAAGAGATAGTCACTGCTATGTCAAATGGTTTTTTTAATCATATTTGCAGAATCTGATGCTCTGTTGCTTCTCTCATATCAGGAGCATGTGAAGGTTCACTTGCCTGTTCAACATGTCATGTGATTGTGATGGTATGTTGTTTATGTTTCAAAGAAATGTGTTTTTTGAACTTAAATTTGGTTTTAATAGAACTTAAGTTTGAGGAGCTGATTGTAGAATAATCCTGCAGGATATGGACTATTACAACAAATTAGGAGACCCAACTGATGAGGAAAATGATATGTTGGACTTGGCCTTTGGGCTTACGGAAAGGTATGTTAACAAATTTTCGTGTGGAATTTTTCTTGCAATTGGTTCATACTGAAATTTATGCTTGTGACATTGTAGTTCTCGCTTGGGTTGTCAAGTGATTGCAAAACCTGAACTTGATGGAATTCGTTTAGCTATTCCTGCTGCCACCCGAAACTTTGCTGTTGATGGCTATGTTCCTAAACCACACTAGAGATGCTATAATGCTTCTGGAAGAGTTGGTTGAGTGTTACGTGTAACATTCCAGTTTTGTAACTCCTGTATCTTATTGGAACAATGAGCACAACTTGAGTCCAATTATTTATTTATTTATTACTAATACTGATTATAGATTTGCTGCTTATTCACGAACTCTCTAACATAATATTTACAGTTTGATCTTAATAATCTAGGGTCTGTTATTTTTATTCGGTTTTTATACTTGGAGCTTGTAAGCACTTTTGACCATCAAATTCGCTTATGATAACTTTTGGCGGAAAAAACTTATAAATACTTGTGGGTTACAAAAGCTCTTTCTAAGTGCCAGTTTGTCATTACTTATTTGGGGTAATAAGTGATTTTTTAAAAATTTTGGGAAGCCCTACCTGTTTGGTAAACTATGAGAAAATTACTTATTGTTAAAAATTGCTGTGAGAGAAAGCTATAAGGGAAAGCAGCTAATGAGGTGCTTTCATTTTCTGATTATGCAGGAATCAGTTTCGAAGAGGCACTGAGTTTAATGATTATGCGGGAATTATTTTTTGATTATGCGAGAATTAGTACCAACAACACTTTTAACAAAAAGTTTACCAAACGCCAAACTGTTTTCTCTCACAGCAAATCTGACAGCGATTATTTTCACAGCACAGCAATGCCAAACTGGCCCTAAGTGTTGTTTATGAATAACTTCCAAATCATTCGGATATTTAACAAATTGTTTCCTACAAAGTGGTTGCTTGTTAGCTACTCTACTTTCAACCAAATTTGGAATTGACCGATCCTTGCTTGAAATTCATTTTTGTTCTAAAACACCTAAGAAATCTCCCCCTCTTTCTCTTTGACCGTCTTGCTAGACTAATTGGTAACTCATCATGCAACAAATTCCGACGGCTTAGTTAGCTACTCTGACCTTTTTTCATGACGACAAATTCCAACGGGTTGGTTAGTTACTCAATTCTTTTTCTTTGCGACACTGTAATTTAAACTAATGACCTGATAATTTGTTGGACCTTGTAATAATCTTGTTTTCTTGCTTTAAACTTCACGTTTTTTTGGTCGTAACAATAATAGTTATTGCCTACATTTTTTTGCTTGCAACCTGCTAAGAAAATAAAAAAGAATAGGAGATGAAGAAACTCACGGCACGGTAGAGTTTTAAATTTAAAATAGTAGGTGATGCATGTCCATGAGTTTCACCACCAATTTTCATATTGACAGGGGCAAACCTAGAATTGTAAGGTTGGGGAGCTGAATATTAAATAATTATGCGAGAATTAGTACCAACAACACTTTTAACAAAAAGCTTACCAAACGCCAAACTGTTTTCTCTCACAGCAAATCTGACAGCGATTATTTTCACAGCACAGCAATGCCAAACTGGCCCTAAGTGTTGTTTATGAATAACTTCCAAATCATTCGGATATTTAACAAATTGTTTCCTACAAAGTGGTTGCTTGTTAGCTACTCTACTTTCAACCAAATTTGGAATTGACCGATCCTTGCTTGAAATTCATTTTTGTTCTAAAACACCTAAGAAATCTCCCCCTCTTTCTCTTTGACCGTCTTGCTAGACTAATTGGTAACTCATCATGCAACAAATTCCGACGGCTTAGTTAGCTACTCTGACCTTTTTTCATGACGACAAATTCCAACGGGTTGGTTAGTTACTCAAATCGTTTTCTTTGCGACACTGTAATTTAAACTAATGACCTGATAATTTGTTGGACCTTGTAATAATCTTATTTTCTTGCTTTAAACTTCACGTTTTTTTGGTCGTAATAATAATAGTTATTGCCTACATTTTTTTGCTTGCAACCTGCTAAGAAAATAAAAAAGAATAGGAGATGAAGAAGAAACTCACGGCACGGTAGAGTTTTAAATTTAAAATAGTAGGTGATGCATGTCCATGAGTTTCACCACCAATTTTCATATTGATAGGGGCAAACCTAGAATTGTAAGGTTGGGGAGCTGAATATTAAATCAAGTATAGAACATATATTAATATTCAGAAGTTACATGGTAGAGCTAAATTTTTTTTACTTGTTTATGTTGGAGAGGGGCCATTAATAACTTCAATTACAACTTGTCTATTAATATCGATTACTATATATATGGTTGCTGAACTTAGGATTCTGAGTGGCTACCAGACCTATGAGTTGCTATGTGATGGGTATATTTTATATTATATATTTAATCCCATTCTTAGTATATTTTGGTTAATATTTTGAAAGAATTTTGATACTTTGAATTATATTTCCAATATAGGACTTTCAACTTCCTCTGGAGCAAAATATAATCAAATTGACGAATTTTGTAGTAATTCCAGTTGGAGGACGTTCGTGAGTCACTTAGCTTGATCGTATCGAAACTTCAGATTTTTCTACCAAGTGGTTATTTTCTGGCAATAAAATAAAAGAGCAGTGTGCAGTGCTGGAATAGTGACGTTTTAGGCTTTTATTGCGTTTTGGAGCCCAAAATGACCTCGGATGGGTTCTTGGCCTTCTGGATATGTGTTTAGAATATTTTTATCTTTAAAACAAGCTATCTTGGGCTGGATTTGGAGGAGATTTGAGAAGAAACTCACGGCACGGTAGAGTTTTAAATTTAAAATAGTAGGTGATGCATGTCCATGAGTTTCACCACCAATTTTCATATTGATAGGGGCAAACCTAGAATTGTAAGGTTGGGGAGCTGAATATTAAATAAAGTATAGAACATATATTAATATTCAGAAGTTACATGGTAGAGCTAAATTTTTTTTACTTGTTTATGTTGGAGAGGGGCCATTAATAACTTCAATTACAACTTGTCTATTAATATCGATTACTATATATATGGTTGCTGAACTTAGGATTCTGAGTGGCTACCAGACCTATGAGTTGCTATGTGATGGGTATATTTTATATTATATATTTAATCTCATTCTTAGTATATTTTGGTTAATATTTTGGAAGAATTTTGATACTTTGAATTATATTTCCAATATATGACTTTCAACTTCCTCTGGAGCAAAACATAATCAAATTGACGAATTTTGGAGTAATTCCAGTTGGAGGACGTTTGTGAGTCACTTAGTTTGATCGTATTGAAACTTCAGAATTTTCTACCAAGCGGTTATTTTCTAGCAATAAAATAAAAGAGCAGTGTGCAGTGCTGGAATAGTGACGTTTTAGGCTTTTGTTGTGTTTTGGAGCCCAAAATGACCTCGGATGGGTTCATGGCCTTCTGGATATGTGTTCAGAATATTTTTATCTTTAAAACAAGCTATCTTGGGCTGGATTTGGAGGAGATTTGAGCCCAAAATGTGGCTGGGCAGATTGTGGGCAGATTCTCCTAGTCCAATTTGGACCATATGTCCTAGTATTATTTTATTTTAATTAGTTTCCTTGTGGGGATAGAAAAGCTGGACGGGGGCAGCTTGTTTGTAAGGGGTATTTAAGTTGGTTTTGATGGCAATATTGGGGACTTCTTTTTTGCTTTTGAATGTAACATTGTAGAGAGCAATTGCTAGGGTTTTGGAGTTTTTGCGACTTTAAGGTGTTTTCATTCTTTTCTTTCTTAATAATATTTTCCATGATTTCAGTTATGAATATGCGTAACTACTTTTCTTTTGCTAGGGTGAAGCCTTGAACCTTAGCATGAATATGTAATTTTTATTTAATTGCTTATGATTGATTGCATGCATACTTTGAATTGTTAATCACTATTTTAAACTATCTAATTATCTTAATACCTGATCATCATTAGGATATTTAAAAAAGTAATTTGATGCACTTTTGGTCGGAAGGTTCCCTGAGATTGACGCTGGCTTCTTGTGATTAATAATTCTAATTTCACTTAAGATGAACACCACGTCTTAAGAGTTGCATGGTTTTTCAAAGGGTTTTCATAAAACATAATGAGTCTTTCATGTTCAGATTTGATCCGAACGTCCGAATGAGTTGCATGTTGGATATACGTTCTGTGTTGGAGGTTCCAAGTAGAATATAAACTAGGAAAACCTAACCTTCAAAGTGGCATGTGCAAATCATAAGTAATTGGTAAAATTTCATAGGATTGCTAGGTGATGGTGAAACTCTAGTGCTTTTATAAATTGGTATTTAAAACTCTTTTCTTCAATCGTAATTGTTTTCGTTTAAAATTTATTTTTAGTATCGAACAATTTCATAATCATCTTTCTCAACTTTTAATTTTAGGTAGTTAATTGGAAATTATTTTTACATAAATTGCTAAATAGTCCTTGAGGAGAACGACCTTGCATGAGCATCTACACAATAGCTTTTATAAATAACCGCTTGGTAGAAAAATCTGAAGTGTCAATACAATCAAGCTAAGTGATTCACGAACGTCCTCGAACTGGAATTACTCCAAAATTCGTCCATTTGATTATGTTTTGCTCCAGAGGAAGTCGAAAGTCCTATATTGGAAATATAATTCAAAGTATCAAATATATGAAATATCAGGTATATAGTTCGTTTCGGGTGATATTTCATTATTATTCTACCCTTTTTATGTCTATTACCATACTACGGTTAATTTTCGAGTATAATATTACAATAGTACTTAATTTAGAGGAATAAGGATGTTAGTGTTCAAACTATCTCATTTATTTTATAAAAACTTAAGAACTTACGTACTTTTAGTGGTATTTGTTCTGGCATTCGTGGCTAACAGTCTCTGTTCCTGATTTATGAATACAATGATCGTCTTTCTTTCAAATTGAGATAACAGTTGGTAATTGTAGAATTACTATCAATTCAACTTAAAACAAAATTAGAATAAAAAAGAAACTTATATGTACCTGATCACTGCAACTAGCAGTTTTATTGTGTGCTGACCCAGAGTCAAGATTAGTATAATAGCCATGCCAACCAAGGTGCACCTGAGGATTATTTTCCTTGCCCAGAATATCAGAAGCTGAGAAAAAAAGTATCGTAGAATCGACCTCTACCTCTTGGTCCAACATGGTTCCTCTCCATGAAATCAGAATGTCCCTCCTTCCTAACACTATGCTTCCTTCATCCGTCGACACCGCAACAAATCCCAACAAGTTTGATTTCCCAGGTGAAAATCTTGTTGCTGCATACAAATACTTCTTCACCTCGTACTTGTATGGATTGCCTGTCTCCAAACCCACCTTAGAGAATAAATTTCTCTTGGCATACCGGGGAAGTCCGA